CACAATACACAATCACATACAGAACTTCAATACACAACCACACACAACCGCACACACACACCACAACTTCAGTACACAACCACACACAACAACCACACACAACAACCACGCACACAACCACACACACAACAACCACACACACAACCGCACACAACAAACACAACCACACACAACAACCACGCACACAACCACACACACACACAACAACCACACACATACACACAACCACACACACAACAACACGCACAACCACATACACACAACCACAACACACAACCACACGCACATACACAACAACAATCAGCAAGCTAATAGGTACACGAGTATGTGTATAATAATATAATAATGCAGGGTTAATGAGCGCTAATACTGTGTGGCATTGACAACACCACCACCATCATCACCACCAAAGACCCCCCGTGTAGCCTCTAACAGATTATTTGGGGCAAGTGCTCTTAGCGAGTAGCCAGCGGAGGCTACCGGCGCTGTGGCGCATGAGGGGGTGGCCAGCATCACCACACGCGCCCGGCCGCCTTTGTCTTCCCCCCCCCCCAGCGCACTACAATGCACCGGGCAACCTAGTTGAGGCCGAGTAGACCTAGGGGAGGCACGGTCCCAGGTACCCGTTGTTTGGATAATCGCTGCTGCTACTACCAATGAGTTGATGGTGGTGGTGGTCGTGGTGGTCATGGTGGTGATGGTCGTGGTGGTGGTCGTGGTGGTGGTCGTGGTGATGGTCGTGGTGATGGTCATGGTGGTGGTGGTGATGATGGTCGTGGTCGTGGTGATGGTCGTGGTGGTCGTGGTGGTGGTGATGGTGGTCGTGGTGGTGGTCGTGGTGGTCGTGGTGGTGATGGTCATGGTGGTGGTGGTCGTGGTGGTGATGGTCGTGGTGGTGATGGTGGTGATGGTCGTGGTGATGGTCGTGGTGATGGTCGTGATGATGGTCATGGTTGTGGTGATGGTCGTGGTGGTGATGGTCGTGGTGGTCGTGGTGGTGGTGATGGTGGTCGTGGTGATCGTGGTGGTGGTCGTGGTGATGGTGGTCGTGGTGGTGATGGTGGTCGTGGTGGTGGCCGTGGTGGTGGTGATCGTGGTGGTGGTCGTGGTCGTGGTGGTGGTTGTGGTGGTCGTGAGCGGGAATCGAACTTGGGTCTCTGGCCCGGTAAGTAAGAGCGGTGGCGCAGCGGTTAGCTGCTCCACCGCTCTTCATCCTCATCACCGCCACTGTCGTCATCATCGTCAACATCACCACCGTCACCATCGTCAACATCATCACCATCACCACCACCATCATCGTCATCATTGTCATCATCACCACCACCGTCATCATCGTCATCATCGTCAACATCACCACCATCACCACCGTCATCATCGTCAACATCACCACCATCACCACCGTCATCATCGTCACCATCATCACCACCACTGTCATCATCGTCATGATCATCAACATCACCGCCATCATCATCGTCAACATCACCACCATCATCATCGTCACCATCGTCATCATCGTCAACATCACCACCATCGTCATCATCGCCAACATCACCACCATCACCATCATCACCGTCATCATTGTCAACATCACCACCACCATCACCGTCATCACCGTCATCATCGTCATCATCACCACCACCATCATCATCGTCACCATCGTCAACATCACCACCATCGTCATCATCGTCAACATCACCATCACCACCGTCATCATCGTCATCATTGTCAACATCACCACTATCATCATTGTCATCATCGTCAACATCACCACCACCATCATCGTCAAAATCATCACCATCATCACCACCATCATCATCGTCGACATCATCATCGTCATCACCACCATCACTGTCAAAGTCATGAGGAATGGTGTATCCACTGCTGGGTGAATGTCTGATCAGCCATCACCACCATCCAGTCCCAGTAGTCCAGTCCGGGTAGTCCAGTCCTGCTAGTCCAGTCCGGGTAGTCCAGTCCGGGTAGTCCAGTCCCGGTTGTCCAGTGCCGGTAGTCCAAGTCCCGGTAGTCCATTCCTGCTAGTCCAGTCCGGTGGTTATGTCCCGGCAGTCCAGTCCGGTAGTTTGGTCAAATGATCCCAGCTCATAGTTATAATTGGTGGTTAATCTGGTAGCCTGCCCTGGTAGTCCAGCCCGGTAATCCAGCCCGGTATTTGAGTCCGGCAGTCCAATGGTAGTCCGGTCCGGTAATCCATGCCGGTTGTTACGTCCCAAAGTCCAGCCCGCTAGTCCAGACATGGTAGTCCGGTCTGTTAATCCGTGCCGGTTGTTACGTCCCGAATTCCAGCCCGGTAGTCCAGCCCGGTAGTCCAGCCCGCTAGTCCAGCCCGGTAGTCCAGACATGGTAGTCTGGTCCAGGTATTCCATGCCGGTTGTTCAGTCCCTAGTCCAGCCCGGTTTTTCAGTCCTGTAGGCCAGACATGGTAGTCCGGTCCGTCAATCCGTGCCGGTTGTTGCGTCCCGAATTCCAGCCCGGATAGTCCAGCCCGGTAGTCCAGACGTGGTAGTCCGGTCCAGGTATTCCATGCCGGTTGTTCTGTCCCTAGTCCAGCCTGGTTTTTCAGTCCTGTAGTCCAGACATGGTAGTCCGGTCCGTCAATCCGTGCCGGTTGTTGGGTCCCGAATTCCAGCCCGGTTAGTCCAGTCCCGGTAAAATTCAACCTGGCACTCCAATGTGGTGATCCCAGCGGGCAGCTGTCACTGGTGGCTCAGACGCTGGCGGCTCACCCCGGTAATCCAGTCCGGTAGTTCCACACCGGCTTGGCAACTCAAATAGTCTGTTTTTGGTGGCTCTGGTTTTGGTGGCTCTGGTTTTTGGTGGCTCTTGTTTTTGGAGGCACTGTTTTTGGTGGCTCGGTTTTGGTGGCTCGGTTTTGGTGGCTCTGTTTTGGTAGCTGTTTTTGGTGGCTCTGTTTTTTGGTGGCTCTGGTTTTTTGGTGGCTCTGGTTTTTGGTGGCTCTGTTTTTGGTGATTCTGGTTTTGGTGGCTCTGGTTTTTGGTGGCTCTGGTTTTGGTGGCTCTGGTTTTTTGTGGTTCTGTTATTGGTGGCTGTTTTTGGTGGCTCTTGTTTTGGTAGCTCTGTTTTGGTGGCTCTGGTTTTGGTGGCTCTGGTTTTGGTGGCTCTGGTTTTTGGTGGCTCTGGTTTTTGGTGGCTCTGTTTTTGGTGGCTCTGTTTTTGGTGGCTTTGGTTTTGGCGCGTCGGTTTTGGTGGCTCTGGTTTTTGGTGGCTCTGGTTTTTGGTGGCTCTGGTTTTTGGTGGCTCTGTTTTTGGTGGCTCTGGTTTTGGTGGCTCTGTTTTTGGTGGCTTTGGTTTTGGCGCCTCGGTTTTGGTGGCTCTGGTTTTTTGGTGGCTCTGGTTTTTGGTGGCTCTGTTTTTGGTGGTTCTGGTTTTGGTGGCTCTGGTTTTGGTGGCTCTGTTTTTGGTGGCTTTGGTTTTGGTGGCTCTGTTTTGGTGGCTCTGGTTTTGGTGGCTCTGTTTTTGGTGGCTCTGTTTTTGGTGGCTCTGTTTTGGTGGCTCTGTTTTGGTGGCTCGGTTTTGGTGGCTCTGTTTTTGGTGGCTGTTTTGGTGGCTCTATTTTGGTGGCTCGGTTTTGGTGGCTCGGTTTTGGTGGCTCTGGTTTTGGTGGCTCTGTTTTGGTGGCTCGGTTTTGGTGGCTCTGGTTTTGGTGGCTCTGGTTTTTGGTGGCTCTGGTTTTTGGTGGTTCTGTTTTGGTGGCTCTGTTTTTGGTGGTTCGGTCCGGCAAAATTCATCCCGGATGTCACCAGCTAATCGGTGGTTCAGTCGTTGAGTCGCCGGTAGTTCTCTCTGGTGGTGGTACCCCCCCCCCCCCCCACCGTGGTACCCTCTGTGGTAGTGCCACCCCGGAACCTCCCTGTGGTAGTCCCCTGTGGTAGTCCCCTGCAGTACCCCCTCTGTTACCCCTCCCTGTGGTACGCTGTGCGGTAGTTCCACCCCTGTACCTCCTCGCGGTACCCCTGTGGTAGTCCCCTGTGGCAGTCCCCCCCCCGTACCCCCTTCAATAGACCGCTGCGGTACCCCCCCCTGGTAGTCCCCCCCCAGTACCTTCCTGTGCGGTACCCCCTAGGGGTAGTCCACCCCCACCCCTACCCTAGGGGTAGTCCACCCCCACTCCTACCCTAGGGGTAGTCCACCCCCACCCACCTCTACCCTAGGGGTAGTCCACCCCCACCCACCCCTACACTAGGGGTAGTCCACCCCCACCCACCTCTACCCTAGGGGTAGTCCACCCCTACCCTAGGGGTAGTCCACCCCTACCCTAGGGGTAGTCCACCCCCACCCCTACCCGAGGGGTAGTCCACCCCCACCCACCTCTACCCTAGGGGTAGTCCACCCCCACCCCTACCCTAGGTGTAGTCAACCCCAACACCTACCCTAGGGGTAGTCCACCCCAACCCACCTCTACCCTAGGGGTAGTCCACCCCCACCCCTACCCTAGGGGTAGTCAACCCCAACACCCACCCTAGGGGTAGTCCACCCCTACCCTAGGTGTAGTCAACCCCAACACCTACCCTAGGGGTAGTCCACCCCCCCCACCCCACCCCGCACACCAGCGGCAAGGTTCACTTCTTCCCCTGCCGCATGTGTAGAGGCAGGAGGGCGGTGCGGGCTGGCCCCGGCACGCCGCCGCCGCCGCCGCCGCCGCCGCCGGCAGCAGCCACCGCCGCCGCCCCCCCCAGCCACGCCGGCAGTGACCTCGGCGCGCACCATGTGCCTGAGCCGGTCGGACGTGGGCAGAACCGCCACCTTGGTAGCGCCCGAGGAGCCACCACCGCCTGCACCGCCTCCGCCGCCACCGCCTGCAGCGCCTCCGCCGCCTCCGCCGCCATCGCCGCCAACCCCAGCCCTCACAAACGCCCGCTTGGCTTTGCGGGGCGGTGCCGGTTTGGAGGCAGCAACCGTCGACGGCAACGCGTCGCCGTCGCCGTCGTCGCCGCCGCCGCCGCCGCCGCCGCCGCTGCCACCGCCGCCCTGCGCCGCCGCACCGCCCACCCGCCTCCGCCGGTGGCCGGCGCCGGCACCGCCCGGCAGGGGCACGTCGTAAACAGCGTCGCCGCCGTGCAACCACGACAGCTTGGGCTTGGTGGTGGGGTCCGGCGGCCGCGGCGGCGGCGGCGGCGTCGTCGCCGCCGGCAACGTCGGCGGCGGCGGCGGCGGCGTCGGCAGCTCGCGGTGCCGAGAGGAGGCGCGCCCGTGACGCCCCCCCCCCATCCTGCCACGCTGGGACGACAGCGGCGTGGCGCCGGTGGTGCCGGTGGCGCCGGTGGCGCCGGGCGGGTGCACGTGGGCATACACGGCTGGCACCTTCGTGTGCGCCTCCGACAGCATCGAGTAGTCCGCCGTTGCTGCTGCTGCTGCTGTTGTTGTTGTTGCTGTTGCCGTGGCGATCGTTGTTGCTGGTGAGCTACCGGCGGCGTGGTTGGCTGGGGGTAGCTCGGCGGACGGGCGAGGCGGGGTGCCCACCGCGGGCCCCGCGGAGTCGGAGTCAGAGTCCGGATCCAGCTCCGGCTCCAGTTCCGGGATTTCCGCCATCTCGGAGCCTCGCGCGCTGCCTGGGGGTGGGTGGGGTGGGTGTGGGTGGGGTGGGTGGGTGGGTGTAGTGGGTGGAGTGGGTGGGTATAGTGGGTGGAGTGGGTGTGGTGGGTGTAGTGGGTGGGGTGGGTGGAGTGGGTGGGGTGGGTGGAGTGGGTGTAGTGGGTGGGGTGGGTGGAGTGGGTGGGGTGGGTGTAGTGGGTTTAGTGGGTGTAGTGGGTGGGGTGGGTGGAGTGGGTGGGGTGGAGTGGGTGGGTGTAGTGGGTAGAGTGGGTGGAGTGAGTGGGTGTAGTGGGTGGAGTGGGTGTAGTGGGTGGGGTGGGTGTAGTGGGTGTAGTGGGTGGGGTGGGTGGAGTGGGTGTAGTGGGTGTAGTGGGTGGGGTGGGTGTAGTGGGTGGAGTGGGTGGAGTGGGTGGAGTGGGTGTAGTGGGTGGGGTGGGTGTAGTGGGTGTAGTGGGTGGAGTGGGTGGGGTGGAGTGGGTGGGTGTAGTGGGTAGAGTGGGTGGAGTGGGTGTAGTGGGTGTAGTGGGTGGGGTGGGTGTAGTGGGTGGAGTGGGTGTAGTGGGTGGGGTGGGTGTAGTGGGTGTAGTGGGTGGGGTGGGTGGAGTGGGTGTAGTGGGTGTAGTGGGTGGGGTGGGTGTAGTGGGTGGAGTGGGTGTAGTGGGTGGAGTGGGTGGGGTGGGTGGGGTGGGTGTAGTGGGTGTAGTGGGTGGGGTGGGTGGAGTGGGTGTAGTGGATGTAGTGGGTGGGGTGGGTGTAGTGGGTGGAGTGGGTGTAGTGGGTGGGGTGGGTGTAGTGGGTGTAGTGGGTGTAGTGGGTGGGTGTAGTGGGTGGAGTGGGTGGAGTGGGTGGAGTGGGTGTAGTGGGTGAGTGTTGTTGCATCTCACTCCTCAGTATGCCGGGAAAGGTCCTGGCAAGGATTATTCAACATCGCCTTGCCAGGCACGCTGAGGAGAGGCTTGTGGAGCCCCAATGCGGTTTCAGGAAAGGGCGGTCCTGCACGGATGCCATATTTTCTGTCCGTCTGCTACAGCAGAGGTGTAGGGAATTCCAGCAAGACCTACATCTCTGCTTTATTGACCTGATCAAGGCCTATGATACCATCAGTAGGCCTGGGCTCTGGGTTGTTATTCGTGCTTTCAGAGTCCCTGACTCTCTGCTCACGATCATTAAGGACCTTCATGATGGTGAGCGGGCCCGGGTAAAATTACGTGGCCGGGAGTCGGGAGGCATTTTCCCTGTTCACCTGGGGGTGCGACAGGGATGTCCTCTGGCTCCCACATTATTTAACATCTATTTTGACCATGTAGTGCACGTGGCACAGGCTAGAGAAGAGATGGAGTGATGTGGTACGGGAGGACGTGGAGCTGAGTGGACTTGCCGATGACCGGTACCAGCGGTGTCAAGATCGGCCTCTGTGGAGGGGGCTCGTGAAGGCCGCTACTGGCCAGTTGGAGGCAGTCGCCCTCCAACAACAACAGAGGGCAGAGGAGCGACGCTCAGAACAACGAGCGGAGCGCCGGGTGGCTAGGGTACAGCAGGTTGGCACAGTAGGGGGCACAGGTGGTGCATCAGCCAGTCGTCTCAGTCAGTCGACCCGTGGCACCTGGGTCTGCCCCGTGACCTCCTGCCAGCGGGCGTTCGACACTTCACGTGGCCTCAAGGTGCACATAGCCTGGCGAATGGCGGTTGTTGGTGGTGATGATGGTGATGATGATAATGATGGTGATGATGGTGGTGATGATGATGACGGTGATGATGATGATGGTGGTGATGATGATGATGGTGATGATGGTGGTGATGATGATGGTGATGGTTGTGGTGATGATGGTGGTGATGATGATGGTGATGATGGTGATGATGACGGTGATGATGGTGATGATGATGACGGTGATGATGATGGTGATGATGGTGGTGGTGATGATGGTGGTG